GGGCAGATCAGCAACAAGCAGAATAGTCATCGCTTCCATAATGTCATCTGAGATTTCCTATAATTGGGACGAAGAGAAAGGTCAGCAAGTGCTGCATGGAATCTTTGCGATTGCAAGATGATTATTATGACTTGATAGATGGCTGGCTACAGCGAAGGCAAAGCCATGGTGAGGAGATAGGAGACCATACATCCTCCTCCGGGTCGGTGATCGACCTCTCGAGTTTTGCGACAAGTTGTTTGAGAATCCTCAACCGATAGCGGCCCGGGGGTAGTGATGTGATATTGGCTGCATCGAACAGATTGTGGAAGAGCCACACTTGTACGTTTGGCGCTTTTAGTATCGCATCATCTGGCCATCTTAATTGGTGTGGTTCGACCAGCTGGAAATACTGGCGTTGCAAGATAAGTAGCTGCGGTAGGTTGGATGGTGCGTCCATGGAAGCGACAATAGTTTTTGTTCGGCACGTAAGCTAGAATATTTCAATGTGTCTCAGCCTCCCTAGTCGTGCAGCCTAGTTGTATGTTCTGATTTTGACGAGGGGAAAGAACATCCAAGCACGCATCTGCTTACGTAACTTTGTAGCGGGGCGCCTTGGCAGACTAAGCGAGGCGCACTGCCGACCGCCGACACGACGCAGCAAATTCGACATCTCCATCTTGCCGCCAGCTAACCACAGGTAATCGACAACAGCAAGATCGATCTCTGTCCAGTACGTCCATTGCAGACCCAAGCCCGCCCTATTGTACTTGTGACTCACGGCTAATTGTCGTGTTGCAGGTCGAATCCTTCCAACATGGCCGACTCTCAAGTTACTCTGCGCACGCGCAAGTTCATCCGCAACCCTCTCCTCGGACGTCGTCAGATGGTCGTGTAAGTGCAGGAAACACCGAGCACACAGTTGCGGGGGATTGAGTCTGACGGGAATACTACAGCGATGTCCTTCACCCCAACCGCGCAAACGTTTCCAAGGACGAACTCCGTGGCAAGCTCGGTGAGCTGTACAAGGCCAAGAAGGACGATGTCTCCGTATTCGGTTTCAAGACACACTTTGGTGGCGGCAAGAGCACCGGCTTCGCTCTTATCTATGACAGCGCCGAGGCCATGAAGAAATTCGAGCCCCGCTACAGGCTAGTACGCTACGGCATGGCCACCAAGGTCGAGAAGGCCAGCAGGCAGCAGCGTACGTCTTCCCTGCGTCTATGCATGGTGTCGCAATTATGGCGATGGATCTGCATGTCGATACATGACACATACTGACTGGACAACAGGCAAGCAGCGCAAGAACAGGATGAAGGAGTTCCGGGGCACAGCCAAGTCCAAGGGCGGTGCGAAGAAGGACAAGAAATAAGCGGGTGCACACTGATGATGACTACGAAGGTCATGGCTGGAGTCGAGTGGCGGTTTCTCTACAACTACTGGTTCGCCTGGTTCTTCCTCACGGTGGATACGGAGTTGCTTCTGCGGGCATCGGCATGTATATCTACGAGCGCCTGTAAAACTCTTGCGGATGGGAACGACAAGACGGATGGCGTTTGAGATCAATTGTCTGCTAACCATCAATGCATATCATGGACTTTACGATCCCCCAACTATTTTGCCACTCACCCGATTTCCACATGGTTTACCCCGGCCACTGCCAATCCTATGTGTCTACGAACGGATACAGATGACCTCTTTGAGACTATCAAACCTGTGTCATGACTTGCGGCCATGAGGAGATGACTTTACTCTATATTTTGCACAGTCACTAGCCACCAGTCAGACCGTTGTCCTCGCTGCCTGCGCATCACCCGTCCTGTTTGATCCAATCCTCGCAAACCAACCATGTTTATCCCTGGCCTTCCTCCACCCCTTACCCCTAATGCCTTCCGTACTCATGATCGCTGTCGCGTTTCCTTCCAAGTCCTCATCCCTGTCCTTTTCCAAACCCTCAAATCCATGAGCAGCATACTATCCAACGTTCGAAGCGACCTGTGTCCCTGAATCTCGTTGCCGAGTTCTCAATTGTTGAAGCCGTGTAGAAGAGCAAGAAGGCCTGATTGGGGGATCCGTGTACAAGTATGTTTTTGGCGATGTAACAGTAACAGAACACATTGACTAGAAGCAGGGTGTAAATGGTTAGCGTAACAAGGGGGAAGAGATCAAGGCTGCTGGAGCTCTCTTATGTAGAATTGCGTTGAGCTCTGTTTCACAGTATCGTCCATGGAGCTATCTTGCCGTATAAAACCACCCTGGCAGCTGGCATTCTCATGCTCAGACATCACTGTCCTTGTCATATGTGTAGAGTGATCTCAGAATGCTCTCCTATCAGCACGCTCAACGAGCGCATCTAAGGGAACATTTCCACAATAAGCTGGTGATTGAAGTTCGACGAAGCTACGTTGTAGTTCTGAGTAGTTGTACATGGTAAAGCAAACGACTGTTATTATACTTTGAATTACTACTCGCCATATTCAATACAGGTGCGCAATCGCTCAAAGGATGCATCGCCAGGTGTACACAGACAGACATGGCACGCGCCATCACTGCTCTCGGGCTTCAAAGTCCTCAGATCTCCTGGGGTATTCTTCTGAGGGCTGTGGCGCAATATTCTCAACTTCGGCTTTAGCTTCTTCCCAAGCCGCCTTGTTTCGTTTCGCCCAATCGATATGGCATTGAGCGAACTCCATCTGCAGTTGTTCTTAGCGGCTTTCAAGAGCACTAGGTAAAGACCGAGACATACCATGTAACGCCGTAAATCGTCCTCTTTTTCGCTCTGGAATCGTCGCAGGTCCTTCATCACACCCGCACTTGCGTCTTTGGTGTCTTTCTCGGCCACAGTCAGCGCTTGTTCGAGCTGCGTAATGGTCAGTATCTCCAAGTGTCTTCACAAATGACATATTAAGCCTACCTGTACCATACTATCCCGTGTCTTGCCGATCTGATCTCTTCGAGTCTTTTCAGGATCTACGTCTGCCATACCCCTGAAAGCATGTGTAATGGACCCAAACAGCTTGTTGGTGACGAAATTCCCACTTGCAGTCTTTTTGTGCGGGCTACTAGGCGGTGACTGATTATCAGGTGCGCCCTGTGCGCTGGATGGTGTGTCGCCATGTGTAGGTGGGAAGTCGGAATCAATCGACGCCCTATCCTCGTCCGATCTACGTGGTTGCTCCGCCTCGCCGATGCTTCGGTGTGAGCTGTTGGATGCAGCGCGACTTCGGGCAGGTTGATGGCCGACGCCACTCAGATGTTGTTCTAATCGTTTCGACTCTGCTTCACTGCGTTCGAGGGATTCGAGTAGATTGCGCTTCTTCTCAAGTTCATCCTTTGTCATGTCCTCCTGTATCCGCTTGAGCACTCGATATCTCAAGGTAGAACGTACGATGCCGGCAAATTGCGCGCTCTCACGCATAGGCTCCGAGAAGCCTGCGCTGAGAGACGAAGAGAGTTCAGTCGTCGCAATGTACGTAGAGTCGACGGCTTGTCCCGTCTTTTCAATGGCTGCAGCGAGAGACTGCGTCTGTTCAGATAGCGAAAAGGCATTGAATCGAGCGCCAAGATCTGCCATGTCCTCTCCCCAATTGCCCAGGTGCATGAGCAGTCGTCTGTTGACCTTCTCCATTGGTCCTTGCAGCAGGTGTTCTAGGTCTTTGGACGAGTTCTCGAAGCTAACAAAGTATGGATCCAACTCCTCTTCCGACATATTGCGCGTCTCAGGAGGGAAACGACCGAAAATGGCAGGACCCGGTGTCGTATGCGCGGCTGCTGAAGGTAGGGCTGCGTTGTTGGCTGGTGAGACAGGAGTACCCGAGCTAGATATGGTACCGCCCGACTTCAATTTTGCGGAAGACGAGGGGACTGGAAGGTAGCTGTGGGCTTGGGAAGGGTTCGCGGCATCGAGCGGAGGTGCTTTGAGGATCTGTTTGGGGATATTGGAAACAGGCGGGCTGTTGAGTACGTCTGCCTACAGAAGCAAGTCAGTTGAAGGGGTTGGTATCTACAAGAGAACGAAGCCTACCCAACTTGTGTAGGGATCGAGGAACCGCCAGAAGACGCCATCTTGTAGTATATCCTGCATCTTCCTACACCTGTTAAGGAAGACAGCCAGCATGCGCTTCCGCAGCTCTATTATGCCGGCATCCTCCTTCGCCTTTGTCGGCTTGGCGGCGTAGTCGGCCATGGTATGCTTCTCGGGGATGGGAGGTACGATGAGCGTGGGGTGAAGTCTGACCAGTTCGGCGCGCAGGGATGCAAATTCAGAGTATCGGCGCTTGACTTCGAGGCCCTGTCCATGTGTCAGCTGCGCGGCTCCCCAGCAGCCTGGCTAACATACACCGCAGTTGATGGTGTACTGGATGTAGTTCACACCGTCCTTGCCCGCGCTCGTGATCAAGACGAGTTGCTCGGGGTGCTCGTACAGCCATTGTTCCACGCGCGCATCGTACCCGCCCTTCTTAGGCGCCTTTGGGTCTGCGTGGTCTTGGTCCTGCTCGTTGTAGTCGACGTCGCTCATGTCGCGCTGAGAGACATACTCGGGCGATTCTTGTGCGGGCGACGACGCCTCCGAGGGCGGCGTCGCGGGGCGGTACGGCACTTGGTCATGTCAGCTAGTGATGCTGGCGGTTGCTTCAGACAGTAGGTAGAAGCCTTACGGGCAGCGGGCGACGCTAGCCCAGGAATATCGGACGTGTTGGAGTCATGGCGGGCAAAGGATCCATACGGATTGTTGTCCTCGTCGTCCCACATGTCGGTGGTGGTGGTGTAGTCGTCGCGCTCACTGGGCGGAACAATGGTAGCGCCTGTTGGTACAACGAGCAGAGTCAGGCAGCACCAAGCGTCGACGTTGAGATGTTTGCCTTGGACATGGTGAAGCTCCCACGCTCTCCCGGCAGTGGCAGTGACGTTGCGCGTGGTCCAAGCTTGTCGACCAGCCACACCTGCATGCACGACGCCCCGCCACGTCACGTTACACTTGGCCACACCCTCCAGCGCTTACTCACAGCTATGTCATGGAATTAACAGACAAACCCTTTGCTATCCGCAGCGCCGTGCTGCGTCTCATGCACTTCTTCACCTTCCCGTACGCCCGTGATAGTTCCTACATTCTCGTCGTCGAAGAAACCTTCGTTCGCTGCCAACGCTTCAAACCCCAGCTCTCCCCCTGCCCCTCGAGGCACCATTTTCACCGGCCAGATGAGGCACAAGCTGTAATAAACCAAGCCGCCCATGAAAAGAGATAGTAGAAAGCCAAGCTTGTACATATTCTTGCTAGCCTCGGCGACAGAATCAGCATCCAAAGACCCTGCGACGCCATGGACCGTGAAGGCAACCCCAGCTGTCCACGCAGCCAGCATGCGCATATTCCAGCCTTTGCAGTACGAGTACGGGCTTTCGGATGCAGTCGTGTACAATGAGGGAACATGCAAGTTACCCTTTCGAACGAGCCAGTAGTCGACAATCATGCACGCGCAGATCGGCATCAGAAATACAGTGTAACTTCCGAGGAACGTCAAGAACGCAGTCGCCGAGGCGATAATCTTCCATGGAACAAGTAAGGGTGCCAGAATCGCGCAGAGTACCTGGCCCCGCACAATGGTCAACCATCGAGGGAAGATTCCTGTAAGATCGGCACCAACGGGAAGCGAGTTGCTTCCTGCATTGGTGACAAGTACAGCGAGCATCATACCGAAAGACGCAAATACTATCCCTGCTCTAGCTCCAGCAGTCCAATATTGATCCAAGATGGCGTCGTAGAGATCCCATACGTTCCAATAGCTTTGGCCGAGGACTTGTGTAGCGGCTGCAGTCGTTGCGGTACTCAGGAACATGACCAGTACTTTACTGGTAAGAATACCGAAGCCCTGGCTCCATGTCACATCGCCGTAGGAATGTCCGTATCGCGCTATATCAGGCTGATTGATAAGCACTGGCGCCAGAGCGCCCATAACGGAATTGATGGCTTGTATCATGGGCCAGATCAGAGCTGAGCCCGAGAGCTGAGTCTGCTTGGTCGTGTACGTAAAACTTCCAATTTTGCCCCCATTGGCACTGATTACCCAAGCGAGCACCCCGAAGAGTGCAATCGTTGTATAGACAGCTTTGACAACAAAGAGGTGTCGAAGTACCGTGGGATGAATGAACATGACTGGTAGTTGCGCCTAAAGATGAGTTTATGAAGTCAGTATTTGTCTCACATACAGTTCGTACATGGATATCACTAACCTATTAATTTTAGCATACTCAGTCGGCCTTGGACTTGAACGAGAGAAAGGTGGACATTACCTACCATCCAAAACAAGAAGAAGCTCAGCAAATCTCTACTCGTGATCCCCGCACTCTCTGGGAGGCGGTTTGGTATATCATTGTAACCCTTTCCAAATATACCCCGCATGAACACCGACGTGATACGGCCTCCATAGTAGGTCTGCGTCGCAAAATAAATGATTGCAACCACAGCTCGTACGACGATATACAAACTCGCTCCCCTGACGCCAGCAGCTGCGCGGACATACACAGGGAAGCCAAGAAAGTACTTGACAGCGCCGCGACTATTGAGCACAACCAGAACGGTGAGAATGGCGGAGCCGATGATAGCAGCAATCATGCCGTGCCACCAGAGTAAACCGATTGAGACAAGAGATGCGCCGAGGTTGTACGAGGATGGGCTGAATGTCATGGTCAGATAGTATGCGAAGTAATGTTGCCAGCGCCATCTCCGATCTTCTGCATTGTGTTAACTTTTGGAGATGCTGAAAGATGCATTTCAAGGCTTACCAGGAGGACTGGGAAGGAGGTCTTTGTTATAACGTACTTCGCCTTGATCGCTGGTATCTTGCGCTATGACTTTGAGGGTTTTTGGAGAACTCAAAACATCCTTGCCTTGTTGCAGAAGGCGAGACATGACCGCGCAGGAATACTCACGCCTGAGCAAATACCAATTCGAGCCTCGGTTGTTCGGCGGGAGGTGATTGCCAGGCTATAAACATCTTGATCGCCTCTACAAATTGCGCATCTCGTCATTGCGGCAGACAAATATTCCTATCAGCCATCTATCTATGCAAGGTTTCGCAATGCTGGGAAAACGGCAGATCTTCGATGATAAGACGATAACGCGTCGGGAGGAAAGAAGCCGACGGGCAAAAAGATCAAGAATGAGGCTAGTGCGTTGACCTGTCCAAAAAGGTGATAGTGTACCTGAGTAAAGTCTCAACAGGTTTTCACGGGCACGGGCATATCCAGCGAATGCGACAGGTTCTCTGCATCTGGGATTTCGATTCTAGCGACTGCATGTGTCCTTTAAGACCATGCGGCGTCCCCACGACTAATTTGCCAGGTTGCCCAGGTGGCACGTGTAGTAAGAAATCGGCGCACCCAAATGCATGATCTGGGTACGTTTGGAGGGCTGTTATACCTTCTAGCCCATGATCCGCGTGGCCAAATAATCATTTCGATCCAGATCCATAGGTACGAAGAGATCTATGAACAACCAGTCTTCGACCCAGACTTATAGGGAAAAGTCTCGCGATAGTGTTTCGCAATGTCCCTGCGTGTCGCAACCCACACATGTTCCTTCCTTGAAATATAGTTCATGAAGTTTCTCAGACTCTCCGACCTTCCTGGCTTACCAGCTATTCTAGAATGCAAAGGGATGGTCATCATCTTACCACCTTCTCTGTATAAGCAGTCAAACGTATCCTTGAGATACTGCTCGTACACTGCACCTGCTGAGCTTACGAAACCAGGGAGCATGTGAAACTTTCCGTCGTTGCCTAAATCATGTTACTAGATTAAATCGGACATGTTGTCATGTAGAGATGCGGCTTACAATCGTAGTTGTACGGCATCATCAACAGGCCCTCTTTCTCCGATTCAGGCAGTTGCTTCTCCCAGGGAAGATCGATCCAATATGGCGAGTCTTCATTATAGACTTCTGATGTGTAGAGCATTTTGTGACCCATTTCTTTCCACATGATTGGGAGCAGGCTGGCTGTATTTGGCGTGCCTCTGCCGAAGTAGGCTCCTACCGGAAATTCGCCTGTATGCGCGTCAGTATTGAACAAGATGTTTGGCATCGGGTAGGGCGTACCAGTTGCCGCTTCCAAGGCTTTGCATGTCTTCTTAATATACGCCTTATCGTCTTCAAGTGAATAGTCCCATATGTCTAGCCATCTATACCCATGAGCCCCAATTTCATGGCCGTCTCTTACGCAAGCTTTTGCAAACGTGGGATTTCTCTCCATGGCCACTGCAATGGCCCACAGGGTCATGTTCCAGCCGAACTCCTTCATAAGGCGTAGTATCCGCCAAGCGCCGCACCTGCTACCATATTCGTAGTCTTGCTGCAGAGGTAGACGTACGAAGTCAGTGTATGTCCCAAATGCAGTTCGTACAGCCAGAACTTACCTCGCCGTTCAAATGGCGCTGTTCCCTGCCACCGCCCGAAGGGCCTTTCTCCCACAGGTAGGGTTCGCTAATGCCATCGCCATCCATGGGGTTTCTCTCGCCACCTTCTTCATAGTTAAGTACAAAGGAAACTGCTATGCGGGCGCCGTTTGGCCATCGTGCGTCATGACCATCTTCGCCAAAACCTATAATAGTGATCAGTATGAGGAGAACTGCAGATTGTGTGGTAGCGCACCTTCAAAGTCTCTGGGGAGTTGAAGAGACTCTTCGACGTGAACCATGACAGACAGATATTCGATATCACGGTCGCGAACACAATAGAAGAGGAAGAGTAAACGTAGATTCAACGCATGCTACCTGCGTAGGATTTTAGAGCGGTGTCAATACGTACAAGTCGCAAGGCTATCCACAGTTGAGCCAGCCAGGACCGACTCAACAATCTTTTGACTGCACGTCAAGTCCGTTCCTTTTCACCTGTCAATTTCTTATCAGCAGTTTCTTACCAATCACGACACAGAAAAGTTATCAGGTACAAGGCGCGCTGTTCGTTGTTTGCTGATCGGAAGTGACTCTCCCGACGATCGACCTCGGGAATAAGCGTTCCGCCTGCCCCGCTTTACTGTTATCTTTCCTTCGAGGCTTCCACTACACAATCTTGCAAGCATTCAGACGACTGAACATATCGGCAAGTACGTATCAGTGGCTGGTAGGCTACGAATGAACATTTGTCACAAGGTGTTAAAGTCATGGCAGATCAACAAGTGCCGCTGTGGGTCTGCACCAGGCCTGCCAGTATGAATAACCGAGTGCCCCTGGCAATTCAGTGTATGACGAACATGTAGCATCGGCAAACGATCGCGATCTAATTACTTGAAAGCGTTGCGGTTTCACCAGAGATGTCGGTTTTCTCGCTAGATACCAGCCATGACAACCCTGTCACGAAAGAAACTCTCGAGGCGCTATGCTCTCAGCTTGGGGTCAGCATCGATGAGAAAGAGAAACAGGACTATCGACGCTTACTTGCCGCATTTCACGATGCAAGCGAACTACTAATGGCTATGGACGGTAGGACATAGTGGTTCACGTCGCGAGTCATGACGGAAGCTGACATTGATGTATAGACTATGTCCCCCCAGTCGATGAGGAACGCTTTGCCAGAGAAGATGTTCATTTCCCGCAAGCATCTGAGAATTCTCATGGTGCATGGGCGTGGAAGTGCAGAATCGTTGACAAGGAAGCTAAGAGCGACGGTAAACTTTACGGCAAAACGTTCGCTTTGAAGGACAACATTGCCGTCAAGGGCGTACCAATGCTACTGGGTACGAACTTCGTCAAAGGCTATGTTCCGAATGTTGATGCAGCTGTCACTACACGAATCCTAGCAGCTGGCGGTGAAATCCTCGGAAAAGCAGTCTGTGAGAACTTGTGCCATTCTGCAACAAGCCACTCTTCGAGTACTGGAGTGGTGGAAAATCCATTCGCAAAAGGCTATAGCGCTGGAGGAAGCTCGAGCGGCTCAGCTGTTCTTGTGGCATTGGGCGAGGTCGATGGGTCAATTGGCGCAGATCAGGGTGGTAGTATCCGTGTGCCAGCCGCCAACTGTGGTATTGTTGGCCTAAAGCCTACCTTTGGCCTTGTGCCATACACCGGATGTGGAAGTAACGAGCCTACTAACGATCACATTGGTCCAATGACACGGACAGTATTGGAGAACGCTGTACTTCTCGAAGCTATTGCCGGAACGGACAATATTGACGATCGTTCTTTCGCTGCACCTCACCCATCCAAGATACCTATTTACAGTTCCATCAGGAATACTCCAATGCACAGACCCTTGGAAGGCAAGCAATTCGCTATAATTACTGAGTCGCTCTCTACACCAGCCTTGGATCCACGAGTGGTCCAAATCTTTCGCACCGCAGTCACCAAGTACGAAGACCTTGGTGCCACAGTCACCGAGATCTCGATACCGCTGCACTCAAAAGGAGCAGCGATATGGAATGGCATATCGAAAATCGGTGGATTTCTCGGGAAAACCACAGGCTCGTTCGGGCGTCGCGGACACCAGATGCTCGAGCTGAACTCATTGTTGCATCCCATGGGCCAGGACAACTGGAACGAAGCATATGCATCTACGAAGAACATCTACCTCAACGGTCTGTACGCTACACAAAAATTTCCCAACCTCCTCGCGAAAGCGACGAATCTATCAAGACAGCTTCGTGATGCTTACGACGCGGCTCTGGCACAGTACGATATATTGTTGACACCTACACTACCGTATGTAGCAACGAGTCATGCGAGCTTTGATGCAACACCACTCGAACAGATTGGAAAGCAGATCGGCTTGACTTCCAACACGGCGCCGTTCAATCAGAGTGGGCATCCAGTGTTGGCGATGCCGATTGGTATGTTGCCAGTCACGGAAGGCCCTGGAGTGGAAAAGGGAGTCGTTTTACCGGTTAGCATGCAGGTCATTGGAAAATGGTGGGATGAAGTGGGTGTTTATGAAGCGGCGTTCGCGTGGGAGAGGGCAAGTAGCTGGAGGGGTATGTGACGAACGAAGTTTTATGTAAGACCATAACGTCGCTCGCGCTCGAATTTAACGCTGAAAGGTGTTCAAGGTGATTTGTCACCGTGACAACACAACAACGTCTTCTTTGATCCTGTTCCCATGGTCTCTTCCGTCGCCGCTCACTTCAACCTCTCCACCTCCACCATCATGTCTCTCTTTTAATTGCACATCTTCTCCAACTTCATCTGGCCTCTGCAGACCTCTATCTTCAATGAAGAAGCACCCAAGTAAACATAATCCCATAAATGGTACATTCACGATGAAGACCGTCCGACTCGCTGTTGCGTACGCCTGCAGAATCTGCAGTATTTGCCGTGGGCTCAGGGAGTTGAAGTCGGTTGTGTCGTATGAAGAGAGCGATAATGAGCGGAATTCTGCTGACATTGCACTATGCAAAGAGTTTTGCAATGCAGCAGCGGAGATTGCAAGACCCACAGCACCGCCGAGACTGCGAATGAAGTTGCGGTTCGAGATGACGACTGCACGCTGGGCTTTAGTACAGTGGGCTTGTATTGCAACCAATGTGGGCTGAAAAACGGCACCAATCCCTAATCCCTGGACGACAAGTATGACAACCATAGCCCAAATTGGCGTGGAGAGATTGAACATGCATGTCAACCCTACGCCCAATGTCCAAAGGAAGAAGCCTAGCCAGATTACCTCGCCATAGCGTTCTCTACGGGATATGTATTGACCGGATAGGATGGAGGAAACCATCTGTGAGGCGGTCATAGGCAGCATTAGGGAGGCTGACATAAGAGGCGCGAGGAGGCGGGCGTTTTGGAAAAAGAGAGGTAGATAGTAGGTTTGCGAGTAGGCTACAACTCCGAAGAGGAAATTTTGGAGAAGCATGATGGAAACCGGGCCAGATTTGAAGAGAGATACTATTCGAATCAGAGATGGTCCACAGTTGGAGTATGTTCGGTTGCGGGATAAGTAAAACTCACGTGGCATCATGGGCAGTATGGCGACGCTGTGCTCGATGTAGACAAAAGCTGCGATGCAGCATCCTCCAATGGCCAGCATGGAGACAACCATTGGAGATGCCCAGGCAAAGTAATCGCCGCCACCTGCAATAGGAATGAGCAGCAGTATCAACCCTGCACTTCCGAAGAGGATGCCTCCATAGTCGATCCTTTTCAAAACCAATTTCATATCCGCTCTCGGTTGATCCTTAGGTGTAGGCAGCACCAGAAGACACAACACCCCACAAGCCGCCGAAATCGGGCTGACGAACCAGAAGAAGCCTCTCCAGGTACTATGTTGCACAAAAGCTGCGGCGATGAAAGGTCCAGTCATGTTGCCAAGTCCCACGCATGCGCCTATCAAGCCTTGCCATTTCCCGCGTTCTTTCAAGGTCACTATATCGGAGACGATCATGGCTGAGAGGGACGCTATACCGCCATTTGCCACACCTGATAGACCGCGGAAGACGTACAACATCGTGGCATCGCGCGAGAGGCCACAGAGAAGGTCGGAGACGGTGAGAAGCGCGAGGGCGGAAAGAAGAACGGATTTTCTACCTAGATTCATTATAAGTCATTTCCTGGTGGTTTACACAGGCTAGTGGACGTACCAAACAGGTCGCTCATCCTCCCATACAACACTTGAAAGATTGTATTCGCTATCAGAGCGCTTGTGCCAGCCCAACTGATGGTGTCTTCAGCATTAAGACCCCGCCCTATCGTGGGCAAGGCAACTCCGATACCAGTTTGGTCGACGAAGCAGATGAAATGCGATATCGCAAGGGCCGAAAATACAACGAGGAGCTTCTTTCGCTGAAGTAAATTGGATTGATCAAAGACGGCCGCTTCGGCCGCATGTTGGCGAGCCTCCATGGTGTGGGAGTAAAGAGATCTGACGGCGTTGCCCGAGGAATGTGTTGACGTTGATTCTGTTGCAAGACCTTTCGTATTGTTGTCTTGCCTCTCCGAGGAGACATTTGCAGGTTTCAGTCAGCACTGCCCTGAGAGAGGCGCTTGCTGTGAAGGCTTTTGTGCGCGTGAAGTGATCCAGTGCGAAGCTTGAAGAAAACATGGTTCATGCAACCCAATTGGGTCTCATACCGTAATCGCGATGCGAGATATCCGAACTTTGCTAGGCGCTTTGGGGATAGTCACGCGATCCCTTGGTCTTGGTTGGATGCACGGAGACGCTGTCAATCGAAGGGGCTTATTGTCATTACAGTTAGAAGTCGGGGAAAGGGGGTCAAGATCCATAAATTGCGATGTTGCTACTGGGCCAGTAAACCTCAACAATCAGGTCCTGCAGGTCCAACATACTCTTGTAGCGAATGCGACCATTCTGGGTACTTGGAGCAAATCACATGGTGATGAATCTCAAGATCGTTTCGATGTAATTTTGGTTTAGACCAGAAGATAGACCATGGCAACAGGAGCACGCTGGGGCTGAACAAGCAGTCGTATACATGGTTCTATCCTACACTAAGCACGAACTTCCAGATGCTCATGTCGCATCGCTAACGTAAAAAGATAGGAATTCCTCTGATAAAGATGGAAAGCATAAAGACCAGCGTGAGATCGCACTTTACTTTCCCATGTGTTGTGGTAAAAGCGAGTGACAGGCATGCACGAGGTATGAAAAGACAAAGCAGCCGGAAGGCGCCGCGAGCGCCCTGAGCAAAACTGTCCTTGGATAAGAAATCACCCATTTCTCAAAAACGCCGCTAAACGGGACCCTTAACTGACTCTTAGGAAAGAAGCCTACAAGGCTGAAGCTACGGTACAATGTAAAGAATCTAATCCGTATTGTGTGGTTGTAACTATACACATTGTACCCAGGTGTATTCGAAACAACCGAAAGAACTTTGAAAGAATAATTCACTACCTCAGCCACGAGCGCGGCCGCTGCGTCGGACAGTACCATTGGTGGCAGAAGTGGGTGAGGAGGTCGCAGCAGCGCCATTGACCTTGTCTTTGTTTGCTTTGGTTCTAGTCGTGCTCCTCGCGGACTTGGGCGGTGTGGCTTCTTTGATCAGATTGGCAGCTTTGCGTTTTTGGATGACTGGTAATGAATTAACGCCGTTCGTGTTAGCAGCACCCTTTCCGCGTGTTCTTTTTGCTGGCGCAGGTTCGGGCTCGGGCTCGGGCTCGGGCTCTGAAGACGATCCTGGGTCTGAAAGTTCAGAGTCTTCTGCTTTATCTCCGTGCTCTTTCTCAGCCGCTACTTCTGCGTCGTTCATAGCCACATCTACTTCCGCAGCAGGAGTAGATTTGTCTTCTTGTTCTGCATCCGATGCATCGCTCTCTTCTTCAGCTTCTTCTTCAGCTTCTTCTTGGATATCTTCAGCAACACCTCCTGCGCCTTCTTCATCGCTTGATACCTCAACATAGCTCTTGTGTGCAATGCTCCGTCGATCGCTCTTTCTTCGTGGTCCACTAGATGGCGGAACACCGCCCTCAACATCGCTCGCACCATCATCGTCACCAGCTCTCCTCTTCTTCTTCGGTGTCTTAACGGGTCGCTCAGTCTTGGCCTTCTTATTCTTGATAGATCGGTCGCCCTTGATCTTCTTACGTGGCTTCTCCATACCATCTGAGGCCTTACGCTTCTTGCTTCGAATAGCTTTTCGCACGAGTACATCAAGTTCGTCGACGAGGTCTTCCCCAATCCATGTCTTCTTGGCAATCTCTTGCGCCCGATCGTGACTCTCAAGAGGCCGGAAGATACCGGAGGGTAATTTCGTTTTCCCTGGCCATGATTGCATTGTCCAGTTGTTCTGCTCTTCCCACGAACGAATCAGAGCCTGCGCTAGATCTGACAAGATGTAAAGATTCTCATCAGCCTGGCGTGATGGTGCAATGCCGTCTGCTACGCCCTTGACGCGTTGAGCGACATGAAAGATAAGCGACAGGTTCTCCTCAGTTGCGATACATTTGAGGTAATACAAGATGTACTCTGCCATAAGCTTTAGTGTCTCGTCTTCTGTGTCGAAGTCGGGGTGGTGAGCAAGCAAGCTCAATAACCGAGCGAATACGGTCTCCAATATTGTCTCCTTTCGTGCAGAAAAAGCAGCGCGGCGTGCTCGAATCCAGGTCATGGTGCTGTTCTTGATGGTCTTTTCAGGCTCATGTGCGAGGAAGAAGAGGATGGTATAGAATCGTGGCGGCAACCGGCCCTGACCAAGATATTTCATCAACTTGTTAGCAAAGCTCTGACGCACCTGCGCACAAGGGTCATGTGTAATGAGAGCGAGTTGAACAAAGTCAGCGGGGCTCAAGAAAGCATCTAGGCGCTTGTTGCATGAGAGTTTGAGTAAGGAATTGGCTGCAAGAAGCCGCTGGCGCGATTTGTGTCCTGCTGGGGTGTTGCCATCCGCCGAGCCTTCCCCGCTGTCTTTCACGTAGCGGTTCAGTAGCCTATACGTGTCTTCTGCAGCATCGTTGAAGTTGGCATCAGACGGCAAGGAGCGTAGCCGGTTCACTAGAATCTTGATCGCCCACGACCTGCCTTGGATTTCGTCATCCGGTATATCCATCCACTCGATATCTGCGTCGGCTAGCATCACATGTGGTTTCTGGAGAACCTCCTTGATAGCAATCTCAACGATGGCATCCATATCATCTTCGCAATCTTGCTGCGCTAGTAATACTAGTTGACTCAGCGCAGCTAATTTGCTAAGCCAGTGAGCCCCAGCGTACTGGAAGCCTTTGATGCTCTTCGTGAGAATTTCCTTCGCATGCATCTCCTTCTTGTCATCACTGTTCATAATGATGGTGATTGCATGCTTTGCCGCTTGCGGAGGTGTACCGTAGAAGGCAAAGTTGAGAAAGCTTTGTACCAACTTTAGGCTGTCCTTTCCGTTCATTGGTATGTCCGTGGGGAACTTCTGTGCAAATGCAGCACAGGCTTTGAGATCGTCTACTGCACCAGGAGGGTTGGGTTTCGTTGCTGTAGGTGCCTCACTTTCAAGTGTTTTACAGAGATCCTTTACGTGGGTGGAGAAAACCTTGGGGTGTTTC